GCCTCCGTTGCTGCGGATTTGAGTGCAATCCTGTTTCATTTTGTTTTATTTATTTATATTTATTTATATTTTGAAAGATTTATTTTTATTAATTGTATTTTTGTGGTTTTGTTCTGCTGAACAGACACTCTGCCACTGCTGCTGGCTCTCGCTGCTTCATTTTCGGGGGCAGCGGGCGGAACTGGCTGGGCTGGGAAGTTGAGTTTTTTGGTTCGTCAATTATCCATTTCTTTTTCTTTTTTTATTTTCTGGATCTTCTTTTTAAATTTAAAGTGGATCAAACCCAGCAGACGCTCTTAAACCCTTTCCAACGAGGGGCTACACGCGCGCCTTTCGCCGAGAATTCAGGGTCGAGGGTTTAGGGTTTAGGGTTTAGGGTTTAGGGTTTGTGCGTGTGCTGGCTAGATTTAAACGCTTTCGACTGCGAAGTCTCTTCTTGGTTTGAAATCAATTTGCTCTGTCCTCTCGAGGGCCCCACATCTCACGGCCACGCAGTCGCAGCTGGGGACCCAAACAATGTGTTGCACATCCTTGCCGCAGGTACCCTAAACCCTAAACCCTAAACCCTAAACCCTAAACCCTAAACCCTAAACCCTAAACCCTAGGTTCCAAGTTGTACTGCCGCTTCCCACGCCATTTTGCCCGCAACTTAGGCGCCGAACTTTGGAGCCTCATTTCTGTGGCATGAGCGCGTAGCCCTGCGCCCAAACCCCAAACCCTAAACCCTAAACCCTAAACCCTAAACCCTTTTTCGTGTTTGCGTTTCTCTGCTGCGGGCAGGGGACGGCAGCGGCGGCGAAGGCGCCATTTACCGGCTTGCTGCTGTTTGCAGCAGCTTAGACTTGGCAGGGCTGAGGCGGGCAGTGGGGGATTTGCAATTAGTGATTGGCGACAGCAAAGAAAGAAAAAATGAAGTTTTAAATGTAAATAAAACTTTAAAAGGAACTGTTGGAAAGGTTCGTGCTGCTGCTGCTGCTGCTGCTGAGAAGACTGCAGCAGCAGCAGCAGCTTGGGGCGCCGTGGAGGCCAAGGCCAAGGCCATGAAGCAGCAAGTTGCTGCTGCTCAAGACAGACTCGAAAAGCTGGAGGCGCAAGCAGCAGCAGCAGCAGCAGCAGCAGCACAACGCGAAAGTGCAGCAGCAAAGCAACTCCAAAACTTAGAACGCCAAGTTGACTTCCTCTTCGAAAAAGTAAACCATTTCGAGTCTCTTCTGGAAGCAGCAAAGAGACAGGACTCAAGTGATGAGGAGGAGGAGAGCGAATAGCTCACTCCAAACCCTAAACCCTAAACCCTAAACCCTAAACCCTAAACCCTAAACCCCGGAGCTGGTGAAATTTACCTCAGTCGAAGTGCAGTTTTGCTGCTGCTGAAAAGGCCCCGGAAACCAAAACAACTTTCTCTTTATCAACTTCTGTATCCCACCAAGGACTCAGCGCCGAGGGTTTAGGGTTTAGGGTTTAGGGTTTAGGGTTGCGCAGATGCTAGAAAATAACAAGTTGAAATTGAAAAAGAAGACAGTATAGGCGTAACCCTCGAAGTGTCTTGAGTCCTATATATGCAATTCCATTTATTTTTCTTTTTTATTATTTTATAATTGCTGCATTCCAACATTCATTGGCAAGGAATTGTACAAGTTCGCGTAGGCTGCAGCGCATGCAAGAGGCTCTCAGGAAAGCCCAGGATGTGCAGCGCCTACAGAATTGCATTTTGAAATTATTCCACTTTGTGCAGATTGCATGCAAATTGAATTTGTGGTTTGTTTGTTGAATTGGCTGCTGAATTGGTTGAATATTAGTAGTCAAAGAACAGAGCAGAAAGCGACGCATGGACCCTGTGCAGAACTGCGCCTCAAGAAGCGGGAAATATCCCGTGATCTCTTTCTTTTATTTGTCTAAAAGAATAAAAACATGAAATAAAAGAATAAAATAGAAACAGGATTTGAATTAAATGAAATTAGCAGCTGCTTTCTTCTCTCGAATCGACGCGTCGGAAGGCGAAACGCGCGTGTGCAGCCACATAGTCATTTCTGCGTCAATTTCTTCTCCCACATCTTCTGAATTGCTTTATTTTAGCAAATAATCTATTTTTATTCAAATAATTTTTATTTAATTCAATTAAGATAGTGGTTTTTGGCGGGATCAGCACGCGCGGGAAGCAGACCAGTGGCTCACCCGAACCGCAGCACAGAACATGCGAGAGTTGGAGCTCGATTTTCTCCTTCTCGCTTCGTTTCTGTTCCCCTTTTACTTCTTTTAAATTGTGTTTTATATTGTTTTATATTTAGTTCAACTTTAGGGGAGGATCAACTCGCAAAAGTTTGGCGAAGTTCCGTTTTTCCGCATTGGCTCTTACCGAGCAGCCTCGTTGCAGAATGATATTCAGCTCTTACTCACCTCAAGCAGCAAAGCTGGCCCCATACAATCTCTGAAGCTTTCAAAACGCAGCAGCAGCCCCGGCAGCAACTGCAGCAGCAGCAGCAGCAACAGCAGCACAAGCAGCGGTGTTCCCAGGAGCAGCAGCAGCAACACCAGCAAAGCCAGTAGCAGCAGCAAGAACGCGAGCAGCACCATCAGCAGCGGCAGCAGCAGCAGCAACACTAGCAACGCCAGCAGCAGGTGCAGCAACACCCTCAACGCCAGCAGCAGCAGCAGCAGCAGCAGCAGCAACTGCAGCAACACGAGCAGCAGCGTTGCAGCAGCAGGAGCTGCACCTTTCTTCTGCTGCAGCCCGCCGACTGATGCAGCGACCACCCGCCATTCCAGCCGCAGCAGCAACACCAACAGCAGCAGCAGCAGCAGCAGCAGCAGCAGCAGCAGCAGCAGCAGCAGCAGGTCGGGGTTCAAATGGGGGGTGCTGCTTCTGCTGCTGCACCTGAAGCCCCGCAGCCCGAGGAAAAATGGCTGCTGGAAAATGTGCTGTTTTTTGACCCCAAGAATGGCCCGGGAGGGGTGGGGGGTGAGGCAGCAGTTTTTGTCTTTGATTTAATTCATCTTTGGATTTAATTTCATCTTTTTAATTTCTTCTTTTTAATTTCCTTTTTAATTCCACTTCATCTTTTTAATTCACTTCCAGATTCTCAGACTTTCCAGGTGCTGCTGGAGGTCTTTAGCTCCCGCTGACGCCCTTTGGCCTCCCTAAACCCTAAACCCTAAACCCTAAACCCTAAACCCTAAACCCTAAACCCTAAACCCTAAACCCTAGCCCTAAACCCTAAACCCTAAACCCTACAAAACCCTAAACCCTAAACCCTAAACCCTAAACCCTAAACCCTAAACCCTAAACCCTAAACCCTAAACCGCAAACCCTAAACCCTAAACCCTAAACCCTAAACCCTAAACCCTAAACCCTAAACCCTAAGCTGACCACTGCCCTAAACCCTAAACCCTAAACCCTAAACCCTAAACCCTAAACCCTAAACCCTAAACCCTAAACCCTAAAGGTGTTTGTGGCAGTACGCTGCAGCATTCGTGTTGCTTCCAGCCCTTATATTCCCCTAAGGCGCCTCTTTTTTGTGTAGGGTGCCTGTGCTGTGTAGCTACCACAAAGGGTCTAGGGTTTAGGGTTTAGGGTTTAGGGTTTAGGGTTTAGGGTTTAGGGTGAAATAGGCCGTTGCTTGTGGGCTGAGGGGAGGGGAAGCAGCAGAGTGGCATGGCGAGAGCAGCAAGAGCAGCAGCTGCTGGGAGTTGTTGGAGTTGTTTTGAATGAAGTGCGCAGCAATTTGCTGTTTGCATGCAGCAGCAGCAGCAGCAGCAGCAGCAGCAGCAGGCCGCAGGGGCCCCACAGTGCGGCGGTTCACGCCGAGCCGCGCGAAGCTGCGGAACCGCAACTTTCGGGTGTACGTACACCTGCTGGGAAAGTCGCAAGAGTTCCTCCTCAAACTCCTCAATGATCCTTTTTGTTGCATTTTAGTTTGCGACAGAGCTGGCAAGGAACTCAAACAAATCTCCACGGCCAGCATCCGCTGCATCCAACGCAGAGACGTCGTGAGCCCTCGCTGCTGCTGCTGCTGCTGCTGCTTGCGCTGCTGCTGCTGCTGCTGCTTGCGCTGCTGCTGCTGCTGCTTGCGCTGCTGCTGCTGCTGCTGCTTACGCTGTTGCTGCTGCTGCTTACTCTGTTGTTTTTGCTTTTTATATAATTATGTGTTTGGAGTGTAGCTTTGATTACTGCAACACAAATTGCTGCGCCGCTCTTGCGCCCACTTCGTTGGGGTGTACAGACACTCCAATAAACTGGAAAACCGCTATTATATTTTTTGGAATTATATTTTTTGGCAATTATATTTTTTGCTAATTATATTTGTGCTTTGATTGCCTCTTTTGCATTTAAATTAACTCATTTGCATTATATTAATTTAAATGAATAAATAAATAGTTCTGAAATGCATGCAGACTTTTATTGTTTGAAATGCTGCAGTCTGCTGAGGTGTACGTACGGACCGACCGGGGAGAAACTGCTTCTCTTTCTTTCGACTTTGAAAACGAACAAGAGGCGGAATTGTTTGCAGAATATGTTTTGACTTTGTTTGGCATTCGGGTACTAATTAATTAATTAATTAATTAATTAATTAATTAATTAATTAATTAATTAATTAATTAACTAATTAGCATCTTCTGATTAATTAATTAATTAATTAATTAATAAATTAATTAATTAATTAATTAATTAATTAATTAATTAATTGAGCATCTTCTGATCAATTGATTAATTAATTAGTTAATTAGTTAATTAATTAATTAGTTAATTGGTTAATTAACTACTTAATTAACTTATTGATTAATTAATCAACAAATTAATTATAATTATTTTAATTAATTAATTAATTAATTAATTAGTCAGAAGATGCTTTGCATTTGATCTGCTGCCGAGCCTTTTCCAATTCCGCTGCTGCTTTCTGCCCGTTTTAAAGGCAGTTTTGCTTTTCAGGAAACTTGATAACATTGAAAAAGAAATAAAATAAAATAAATTTATTTCTAAATTATATTTCTAAATTATATTTCTAAATTATATTTCTAAATTATATTTCTAAATTATATTTCTAAATTATATTTCTGTTTAGTCTTTGCTGCTTTATGTCCGGCTTGCGGCTGCTCCTTCTGTCTCAGGTGCATTTCTTTGGGACGCAAAAAATCGGAAACGCGCGGCCGCGTACGGATCTAAACCCTAAACCCTAAACCCTAAACCCTAAACCCTAAACCCTAAACCCTAAACCCTAAACCCTAAACACAAAACCCTAAACCCTAAACCCTAAACCCTAAACCCTAAACCCTAAACCCTAAACCCTAAACCCTAAACCGCAAACCCTAAACCCTAAACCCTAAACCCTAAACCCTAAACCCTAAACCCTAAACCCTAAGCTGACCACTGCCCTAAACCCTAAACCCTAAACCCTAAACCCTAAACCCTAAACCCTAAACCCTAAACCCTAAACCCTAAAACCCTAAACCCTAAACCCTAAACCCTAAACCCTAAACCCTAAACCCTAAACCCTAAACCCTAAATACAAACCCTAAACCCTAAACCCTAAACCCTAAACCCTAAACCCTAAACCCTAAACCCTAAACCCTAAACCCCTAAACCCTAAACCCTAAACCCTAAACCCTAAACCCTAAACCCTAAACCCTAAACCCTAAACCCTAAATTAGGGTACCCTAAGCCCTAGGTTTTGTAGTGTGCTCCAAAGGGCTGTGCATGCTCTAGTTTGTTCGCATTTCGGCAGACAGTAGCTGAAGCAAATTGTTTTCCCGTGTTTGTGGCAGACTCTGCTGCTGATGCTGCTGCTACTGGTGCTGCTGCTGCTGCTGCTGCTGCTGCTGCTGCTGCTGTTGCTGCTGCGCAGTAGATCTAAGGGACCGGTCTGACTCGAGCGATGATTCCATCAAAAGCTACGAGCCCGAGGTTGCACCCAAAAGGCAAAATCGGTAAGCACTTCAAACTAGCTAGCTAGCTAGCTAGCTAGCTAGCTAGCTAGCCAGTTACACAGCGAGCTAGCCATTTCGCTAGCTGCTTCCACACATAGCCAGCTAGTCGGCTAGGAGGCGAGCTGGCGTGCTGGCTGGCTTCTTTTCTAGCTTGCTGCGGTGATAGACAACTGGCTAGCTAGCTAGCTAGCTAGCCTGCTAGCCAGCTAGCTAGCTAGCTAGCTAGCTAGCTAGGCAGGTGCTTAGCTAGGTAGCTGCTTGTTAGACACTGTGAGGTGCCAAAAACGCAAAAGTCTTGCGAAAGGCTCCAACTGATAATGCTAGGGTCCAAGGCTGAGGGTTTAGCGTCTAGGGTTTAGGGTTTAGGGTTTAGGGTTTAGGGTTTAGGGTTTGCGTGCAGGGCTCAGCGGAGGGCGCAGGCGCTGCAGGCGCGAACGGGCTGCCCCTTGCATGGGAATGAGCCTTGTCGCTGTGCAGTGGAGAGGCCTGCTGTGGACTTTTTGGTGGGGTTGGTGTTTATTGAAAAAGTGTTGAAGTTTTTTTTGTTTTTTTTTGCATGCATTTGCACAAAAAGGCATTTCTTTTTGCCTCTTTTCAGCCTTTGCTGCGCAGAAAGAATGTCCAGTTCAGCGAACTTCAACAAATAAAAATAAATGGCAATTTGTGGCTTTTTTGAACTCCAAGTGCATTTCTTTTTCCAGTTTTCTTTTCTGTGGTGGTGTTTATTTTTGTTCATTTCTTCAACTATGAATACATATAAATGCATTTTAATAAATGAATGTATAATATATATATAATGTATATATATATATTTCTTTTTAAGGAAACAAATGCAAATAAGTAAAAGCATATATGTGTATATTGCATTAGAGCCAGCGCCACACAAAGAATGGCTCTTTTGTTATTTATTATTATTTGTTTTTTATTTTTTTTCAGAAAAGAAATAAATATGAAACGGATTCTTCTTCGGATGAAGAATCTGAAATCAACGCCAGCCATTCCCTGAGATACCCAATAGCCATAGACGGGCCTTGCGAAGCAGGTATTTCTTATTTTTGAAAATAAAATTCATCATTTAATTCATTAAACAGAAAATGAATAAAAAGAATCTTCAGATTGGCATTTTAGCACTGCAAAGCAGGCAGATGGCCACAGCAGCAGCAGCTGCAGCGGCAGCTGCAGCAGCAGCTGCAGCAGCAGCTGCAGCGGCAGCTGCAGCAGCAGCAGCAGCAGCAGAAAGCTGCTTGTATAGGCATGCCTACTCGCAAGCCCATCATCTGTTTTACGTAAATCGTAAAGTTGCATGCGTACACACTTTAATGTACATTTGCATGCAATGCATGCAAATGCAGTGCGCATGCATTGCATTTGCATGCAGTGCAAAGTGCAGCAAAGTTGCATGCAAAAGTGCAGCAAAGTTGCATGCAAAGTGCAGCAAAGTTGCATGCAAAAAGTGCAGCAAAGTTGCATGCAAGTGCAGCAAAGTTGCATGCAAGTGCAGCAAAGTTGCATGCAAGTGCAGCAAAGTGCTGCGTGCTGCAGGCAAAGAGCTGCGGCTGAACGACTTGGGCGCTCGCGGCTACGGGCGAGTCAAAGCCAAAGTCGCCGAGTGGTTCGCAGCCGCCAGGCCCGGCAAAGACCCCGTCTTCCCCCCCGCCTGCGAGGCCGTCGGCCTCGCCTTTCGCCTCCACCACAGACACGTCCGCATGCATGCACGCATGCACATGCATGCATGCATGCATGCATGCATGCATGCATGCATGCGTGCATGCATGCATGCATGCATGTTCCTGCATGCAGACTTGCATGCATGCATGCGGCGCCTCCGCAGTGATGCAGCTGCGCATGCATGCATGCATGCATGCATGCATGTAGAGTGGTTCGATGCATGCATGCATGCATGCATGCATGCATGCATGCATGCATGCGCAGCAAGTTGTGTGCATGCGCGCAGCGCCTGCGTCGCCTCTTTGCCTTGCAGAGCTTTAGAGCTAATTATTTCCGCATTTATAATTTGAAATTAATTTGAAATTGATTTATTTTTTGCATTTTAATTTGAAATTAATTTGAAATTAATTTATTTTATTTTCTTTTTCAGGTTGGCAGGTATATCCAGCTGAGGGCCTCCCGGCGTCTGGACACCTCAAGTTCAAATCCCTTTGTCTATTCTTTGGCTCTCAAGGGCCCCGTAACTGTTGATGATGCAACTGCGAGGGATATGCTGCTTATTTTGACGCAAGTGAGAATTTAATTATTTAAATTATTTAAATAATTCAAATAAATAATTTAAATTATTTAAATTATTTTAATTTAAACCCAAGTTGGGGCTGTGGGGCGCGAAGCTGGAAAATATATATATATATATATATATATATATATATATATATATATATATATATATATATATTAAAATGCTATAATTTTAAATATATTTTAAAGAATATCTGCACCCACAAGTGCCAATTTGCATGCGCATGCAGCATTTTTTGTAAAGCATAAAATGCTTCTTTTCATTTGCTTAATTTGCTGCTCTTAGTTGCCTGCATGCAAATGATTTGCATGCGTTTTTAATAATTGAAAATGCCGATAAAAGGCCCCTTCATCTTCGTTTTGCTCCGTGGTGTTGCATGCAAGTGCATGCGAGTGCAAGTGCATGCAATATTAACCATTTAAACTAAAGAAAGCCTTTTTATTAACTCATGTTTGCCAAAATAATTTAATTTGCATTTATATTTTAATTGCAATTTACACTTTTGCCAGAATATGTGCATGCACGCGTGTTTGCAAAAGTTCAGGTTTCAGGGTTGAAGATCCAGGATGTAGAGCTTGGGCTGCAGGGTTTAGGGTTTAGGGTTTAGGGTTTATGGTTTAGGGTTTAGGGTTTAGGGTTTAGGGTTTAGGGTTTAGGGTTTTGCTGCTATGTTTGCAGCGCGAAGTGAGCTATGAAGTCACTTGCAAGGGCGCAGACCTGCAGCTGCTTTTCGGGCTTTCCCCAGCGGCCTTGGGGTCTTCGCCGTTTTTCGATTTGACTCTGACTTTGACTCGAGAGGTGCATTTTTGCGAAAATAAATCCAAATAAATCTTTTAAAGTTCCAAAATAAAACAAAATAAATCATTTAAAGCAATAAAGGCTTTAAATGGTACTTTTTGATCCAGAAATAAATGCAAACTGAGCCATTCAAGTTCTCACGGCGGGGCTAATGCATGCAAAAAGCATGCATTTGCCCACTCCCCTGCTTGCTTGTTTGCTGCTGTGCAGCATCTCGAAATTAGTTAATTTAAAAGTGTCTTTTAATGTTTTTTATTCTCTTTTTGAATGAAACTTCTGCATGCACTTCAACAGATTTGTTTGAATGAAGACTTTGTTGCATTTGCATGCGACTTTGAGCACTTTTTGCCTTCTCGTGATGGCCCGACCCCCGCATGCAGCCAAATGAGAATAAGAGCTTCTAATGGATATATTCTGCATGCGCATGCATGCGCATGCATGCGCATGCATGTTTGTGCATGCACATGCATGCTTGTGCATGCTTGTGCATGCGCATGCATGCACATGCATGTTTGTGCATGCGCATGCATGCGCATGCATGCGCATGCATGCGCATGCATGCGCATGCATGCAAAGAAGCCTCTTTGCATGCGCCTTCGTCTACATGAACATGTCTTCAGGCTTGTCTGTGCATCCATGGAAAACAAGAAATAAATTAAATTGAAGAGCAGCACAAAAGACTCAACATTTCCATTTTGTTCTGCGTATTGGGGTGTATAGACAGCTGGAAAGCTCAATTCAAGTTCCAATTCCGAATTGCAAAAACTGAATTTGAACTTCGGTGATTTGCAGGCGCTGCTCTTGTCAGTTTCCGTGCCTTCTGCGGAAACTCCAGTGGCTTTGCAAATAAATTATAATTCTTTTTTCGTTTCTTTGTTGAAAGAAGAAGAATTAGACGAAAGAGAAGAAGAACTCAAACTCCGCCTCCACGTGCCTTTCTTCAGGTCGGCTGCTGCGCATGCAGCGGCAAAGCTGCTGCCGAAACAGCCGCCAACTTCAACCAATTCGTTTTTAATTTGTTCTTAAATTTAATTTAATTCATTTTTAATGTCAATATATATATATATATATATATATTGATATAAATATATACATATACATATATATATATATATATTATATTTCTTTGTCTTTCTTGGGACTTTTCTTTTTGTTGCTTCCAAAGTTGATAAATGGTTTATTAAATAAACACTTTTTGTCAAAACGTCGATTGCACTCAATCGTACAAGTCTCTTGTAGGAAAATGCACGTATATATATATATATACATATATGATGTATATACATTTATATACATGTATATATATTATACATACATGTAAATGCATATAGATACATATAATATATATATATACATATATATATACATATATATAAATATATATATATATATATATACATATGTGCACATACATGTAATTATTAATGTATACATATATACACATAGTATATATATATAATATATATATATATATATATATATATATATACACGAAATGTATATACGTGGAACTATGCGCCTATATATATGAGCACACGTACGCATATCTTAAAGTAATTCTAAAAATTGCGCACAGCATATGTACAAATTTTATCTGTATACATATACATGTATATATATATATATTTGTACATATTACAGATATACATGCATTACATATATATATATATTTGCACATATTATAAATATACATATATTACATATATATATATATATATATATATATATATACTGTTAAATATAAATACATGAAACTATAAGTCTGTGTAGGCCTATGTAGACGCATGTGCCAGTAAAAGTTGCTGTTTAGATTTTTTAAAGTTGGATTTTAGATTTTCTTCTTTTGAACTTGTTTGCAAGATTTGTTTGTGGAGTGTCTGTACACTGTTACTGCGTTACTGAGTTTGAATGCATGCGGACAAATGCATATCTTTATACTTCACTCATATATATATATATTTTAGATTTTCTTCTTTTGAACTTGTTTGCAAGATTTGTTTGTGGAGTGTCTGTACACTGTTACTGCGTTACTGAGTTTGAATGCATGCGGACAAATGCATATCTTTATACTTCACTCATATATATATATATTAGATTTTCTTCTTTTGAACTTGTTTGCAAGATTTGTTTGTGGAGTGTCTGTACACTGTTACTGCGTTACTGAGTTTGAATGCATGCGGACAAATGCATATCTTTATACTTCACTCATATATATATATAAGTGTCTGTACACTGTTACTGCGTTACTGAGTTTGAATGCATGCGGACAAATGCATATCTTTATACTTCACTCATATATATATATATATATATATATATATATATATATATATATGATTTGTTTGTGGAGTGTCTGTACACTGTTACTGCGTTACTGAGTTTGAATGCATGCGGACAAATGCATATCTTTATACTTCACTCATATATATATATATATATATATATATATATATATATATATATATTTATAAGTGTATAAAAATATTTATATTTTTAAATACATATAAATATATATATTTACAAATACATACAAATATATATATGTTTTATCTGCTAGTGTACACCGCGGGGTGTATGTACATGTAAACCGTGGGGTGTATGTACAGCACAAATATCTGCCCATCTGCGCCTTTTTGCGGACTTTCACTTCAGACATTTATGCAAATATGTATTGTTATGTAATATGTATAAAAGGATAATACATTTAAATATATATATTATATTTATAATATGTATATATATATATATATTATATATATATAATATATATATATATGTATATATATATATATATATATATATATTTAGTGTTTGCTTTGGCTTTGCTGCTGCAGTCCTTTGAAGAACATTTTTCAAGTTTCGACTGCGGAGGTTTCGCTGCCTTCGGAAGCGGCTTTGCGGGCAGTTTACCACACAGTTTGCTTCCACAGACTGCAGCGGGGCAAAGGGGTGAGTTTAAAAATAAAGAAGTTAAAATAAAAATAAAAAAGTTTAAGTTTTTGAAGCATTTGGGGCTTCTTCTTTTAATTAAATACCAATGTTTTTGTATTTAAAGGTGGGTTTTGGCTGTTTTACACTTTTGTTTAGCAAGCCATTAATGCACAAATGCATGCACTGTTTATATATATATATATATATATATGGGGGAGTTTGAAAAGAAGTGAAAGGCTTTTGAAGCTTAAGTGCAGAAGTCGCTGTTTCCAGGGGTGTACGTACACCTGAGGTGGGCAGCTGCATGCGCGCCATTTCGGTGGCCCAGCTGTCCATACACACAAAATGTATCTTTTACATGAATAAAAATGAGCAAAAATCATTTATTTATATATAATATATATGCATGCATATATATATATATATATATATATATATATATATATATATATATATATATATATATATATAT